CTCCGCCATGGTTGTCTAGTTTTCCTTTCACCAATCACCAGTTCACCATCTCATTCTTTCCAGCAGCTCAAATCCATCTCTCGACAAATTCCAACCTTTTTTCCAGAGTTTCTCTCTTTTCCTAAAGTTATGAACGCCTTTGTGTCTTCTGGATTCTGGGTCTTCTGGCTCTCTTTTCCCTGTTTTTTGCTGCTGCTCACCTTCATATTTCTCCGTTAAGCTAGCAGTTGCAGCAACTTTGTCTCTCTCTAGGGTTTTTCATTCTTTAGCCAAAACCAAAATAATTTTCTCTTCATTTTTTCTTGGGTTGTAATTAAATAAAAGAATAATTTTTCGATGACTAGATTTCAGGCTATAAATAATTAACATCACTAAATTTTTACTATTCCAATTTTTTGATCAATTTAATAAAATTATAATACAAAACTCTTGAGGTCGACAAGCATGGCGGGGGAGACAAACATGGAGAAGTTCAATAAAAGAACAGCCCTTTTATCAAAGAAAGAGGCAAATAGAGGAGCCGTTAAATCAAGCAACACAACAATATCCAATAAAACCTTCTGTTTTCCCTTCTATTTTCAACTCCGTTAACACAAGCTCTACCCTGGTGCTACTGCTGCTTTATCGATGCCAAATGAAAAGCAGCTTGCCCTTGCCCTCCTTGTGCCACCGCCAGTGGCGGAGCCCCATGAAATTTAAAAATCTTTGTAAATTAATATGTAAAAAATTATCTTGCCCTCAAAATTTAAAAATTTTATAAATTAGTGTATAAAAAATTATCTCGTCCTCTTGAAAAAAAAAAATCTGGCTCCGCCCTTAGGCCACCGCTGTGAATAGCAAAGTGAACCAATAAGGATCCAAGTGGTTTTGCCTTTGCAGATTGAAGGTAAATTGGAGAAAAGTACAGGTTGCCTTAGTTTGTGTTATAATTTGTCTTTTAGTAAGTGACTGGCTAAGGTCGGTTCTCGGTACATCTTTAAACGTGTAAATAAAGCGGCAAAATGAGAACGCGGGTGTTAAAGAGCGGGTGGTTAAATTAAAGCGACTGCAGCTAGCAGTCCTCAATTGGTAACCTTCTACTATTTGATTTGATTTTATGATTATATTATATTTTCTTTATCTGATTATTATTTATCCACAATGGCTGTAGTTTATTTTTATTTATTTTATTTTTATTTTCCAAAGAAAGACTTCTGGTTTGACGTTCTATAGATTATGTTGGATTGATTTTGTCCTATTTCTTTTTAAATAATCAAAGTCATGCACCTTAGTTCCTTGAATATATTATTTCATTATAGTAGTAACCAATATTATGTGTATACCCACATCTTGCTCATTGGGTTAACTAATTTTTATCACCTTATTAAAATGTAATTTTTTTCTTTTGAAATTAGTTCAAACCCCTATAATACTTTGTTCAAAAAATATATATATGTATATATATTATGTGTATACTTGGATTTTTTTGTCTTATATACCAGTTTTTAATAATCAAAACAACCCCACATGTCAGTGGCTTGAAAATTTCACTACATCAAAAGCATATTATTACGTGTACCAAAGATTTGTTACAGGTTTGATTTTATAATTATAGTACTGATCCTTTAATTTCTGCTTTCACTTGCAGGCGGATCTTCGTGACAAAGCAGCTCTTGAAAAAATTTTTACTGAAACAAAGTAATTTCCCAGCTTATTAATCATAAATCTCTGTTACATATTCCATATATGTATGCATGTACGTATGCCCCCACCCCCCTCTTTTTTCTTATATATACATAGCCTTGTACCATATGTATAAGCTTGAGAAATCAACTTTTGATTATCTTACTAAAAAAAAAGAAGAAAAAGAAAAACATTTGGATTACTTTTCTTTTTGTCTTTTCCTCTTAATTTCTAGTGTCATTTCCTCTTTATGGTGCAGGTTTGATGCTGTTATACACTTTGCTGGACTTAAAGCAGTTGGGGAAAGTATACAGAAACCTTTGCTCGATTATAACAACAATTTGATTGGAACAATTACCCTATTGGAGGTTATGGCTGCTCATGGATGCAAAAATGTATGACCCATTTCTTGCCCCCTTTTTTCTCTTCTATATGATAATTTACAGCATTTGGAATCATGGTTATAGCCTAAGATATAACTACTCCATTCTGTTCATACAGCATTTTTATTTTTTATAAAAATTTTAGATGTTTTGGTTAATATTATAAATAAGTCTAATTTGATACATTCCTCAGACAGCATTTTTATTTTTTATTTTTATTTTAGAGGGTTTTGATTAATACTATTATAAATAATCTAACAAAGCGTCTAATTTGATACATTACAGCTTGTTTTTCCATCATTCACTACAGTCTATGGTTGGCCAAATGAGGTCCCTTGTACAGAAGAGTTTCCCCTATCCGCAACTAATCCATATGGACGAGCCATGGTATATATTTAATACATGTTAACTTTATATCAGTTAGTAACTCCGCGAAATAGTAGTGAAAGTGATGTAGGAAAAACCATTTTTATTTATTCTACACCTTTTACTTCTGTTATTGGTTCCCTATCACTGAACTTGGGCATTAGCTAAACACCAATGTGGCATTTTCTTTGTGATGATCGGCTGTTCATTGAAGAAATATGTCGTGATATCCACAGCTCAGATTCTGAATGGAAGATTATACTGCTAAGATACTTTAATCCTGTTGGTGCACATCCCAGTGGCCATATTGGTGAGGATCCCCGTGGAATTCCAAACAATCTGATGTCTTTTGTACAACAAGTGGTTGTTGGCGAGCACCCAGCCTTGACTGTATTTGGAAATGATTATTCAACAAAAGATGGTACCAGGGTAAGTCTCAATGCATATATCACAATATATGATAAAATACTTTTGAAATATAACCCAGTGCAATTACATTCAATCTTTTCTTAGCTTTGGCTTAAAATTTTGGCAGTTTTCCTCCCTTGTTTCCATTTAAAGTTAAAGAATATCAATTCATCATTAACCACTTTTAAGACTTTTTTCTGGTGTTTTCTAGAATTGTTATTGTACAACAATTTTTTTTTTTTTTTGGTTTTATGAACAATGATGTGAATTTGAAGTTTAAAATCTACTGCAACCTCCTATCTACAATAGCAAAGAAATGGTGTTTAATAGATGTTTTCTTTCTTCAGCATTGTTTTGAGCCATTGCTCAATTCTATTTTCTGTGTCAGATGGCTTCTAAACCACTTACAGGCGAGGCAAATGCTCTTACAGAGAAGAAAATGGACATGGGATTAGGTATGTTGTTGGCTCCTGCAAGTTTCTTTTCTCTCTGGTTAAAAATCTTACCGGTATTTGATTAACCTTTTGTTATGTTAACATAGATGA